TTTATATGGATGCTAGGGATCCAAACTCTGGTTTTTGTGCTTGTGCAGCAAGTGCCATGTCTTAGTGTTTCTGTTGCTGTGATAAAACACCACGACCATAAACCAAAAGCAACTTGAATAAAGGTTTATTTCACCTCATAGCTTATAAATCCATCACTGAGAGAAGCCAGGGAAGGAACTTGGGGCCAGAAAATGGAACAGAAGCCATGGAAGAGTGACTTACTGACTTAACTCCCCATGGCTTACTCATGCCTGCTTTCTTATAGCTCCCAGGACTACCAGCCCAGAGTTGCACAGCTCACAATGAGTTGGGCCCTCCCATATCAGCTATCCATAACAAAATGAGCTACAAGCTTACCCACAGACCAGTGTGGTTGGCTATTTTCTCAATGTAAGTTCTGTCTTCGAAAATGACTCTGGATTGTGTCAGGGTGACATAAAACTAGCCAGCACATGCTCTAACTTATTGAACTAGCTCCCCACCCCAAGAGTTCTTAATTCTTGACTTGGTACTGGCTTCTAAAGAACAAATGATCACAAAAGAATTAGGGAGAAAAATAAGTTAAGGTTTTACTATATGAAGAATTAAAGTGCCAGCTCAGATTTAGTTTTATTGACCATGTCCTTTTTTCCTTCTTCATTTCAGGTCTAATCCAGAACTTGTGCTCTCAATGTTTCTTGGTGGCTTGTCTAAAAAACCTAAGGTGAGATATTTATGAATGCATTTGCCATTTTAAATACATTTTATAATGAGAATGAATTGCTTCTGAAAAAGTTAAGGTGACACTCAATGTCTTTTCCTAAGTGTTTTAATAGGAAGCAAAACTTGTTCATAGTTCTGTGTAGCAGTCTGCTTATTTCTAGTTTATGGGCTATTTGGGAAATAAACTAACTCCATTGCTAAGATACTTTGGACTGTCCTTTTCTCCCTCCCTTCCCCGTCCCCCTGTCTCTCTCTCTCTTCTCTCATATATTACATCCCAACTGCAGTCTTCTCTCCCCTAGTCTCTCCTCCCTAGCTCCCCTTTCTCCTAGAATCACCCTGCTCTGTCTTCCCTCAGAAAAGAGCAGGCCTCTCAGGGTTATCAACCAAACATGGCATAACAAGCTACAATTAAGACCAGGCACATACTATCACATCAAGGTTGGATGAGGAAAAGGGTCAGAGACAGTCCCTGTTCCCACTGTTAGAACCCCCACAGGAACATCAACCTACTCAGCCTTAACATACCTACGGAAAACCTAGGTCAGACGTAGACAGGCTCACTGATCTCTTCGAGCTCCAGTGAGTCTGATCAGTTTGATTCTGTGGACTGTGTTCTCGTGGACCGTGATCCTCCTGGATCCTCCGATCTTTCCTGCCTTGCCTCCACTGGACTCTCTGAGCTCTACCTAATGTTTGGCTATGGGATTCTGCATCTTCTCCCATCAGTTGCTGGATGAAGTCTCTCTGGTCTCTGAGGATTCTGCTAAATTTTGGTTCCCGAACACTCTGTAGGCAGGACAAACTTTAGGTCAAAGATTTTTGTGACTGGGCTGGTGTCACAATCCCAGCACTGGAGTTTGTTTTTTAAATTTCTTTCTCTTCTTGAAAACTGAGTTTAAGTGTATGTTGCTGATCTGACACGCTTAAAGAAAATTTTGGCATTTTAACCTAATGGTCTTTAAGATTTATTTATTGGCAGTTCACTATATAGTGCTGGTTGACCTGGAACTTCCTTTGTAGGCCAGTCTGGGTTGAACTCTCAGAGATCCACCTATCTGCTTCTTGTTTCTGAAGTGCTGGAATCCAAGATACGCACCTTTGCACCCTAATCTGATATGTTTTAAAGATAAATCCACTATTAGTTAAGTCAGATTAAAACAACTGCTATTTTAAAAAGGCCAGTGAGAAGTGGTTTCATACAACTCTACTGTCTTACACTCAGTTATGCTCTATAATTCCCTCTACTTGTAGGTTTATGTAATAAGGTGTAACCATTTGTGTGCTAAATTGGTTTCCCCACAAAGTTTCCCTTTTACAGAAAGTTTCTGAAGATAACATTCTGCTCTTAAAGCTAATTCTAAAGTCTTTCCTGTTTTCTTACCTGTCTTGACTCAAGTCCTCTTCATTTCCAAATTTTCTATTTAAAAAAAAAAAAATTGGGTGGGGATAGGCTGGAGCTGTAACTTAGTAGAGTACTTACCTAATGCTTACAAAGCCTTAGGTTGGATCCCCAGCTCAATGTTAACCTATCATGGCAGTTCATGCCCGTGATGCCAACACCTGGAAGGAAGAGGCAGGAGGTCTTCCCTACCTTGAGAGCTTGAGGCTAGACAGATGAATGCATGAGACCCAGTCTCCAAAAGAAAAAAATTCCCCTTCGTTTAAAAATTTTGAAGTGGACCATTACACCTATAGTCTAGTCTTCTGCTTGGTGTCCAGCTGCTCTAAGCCATTCTTGTCACTGTGAACATGGAAATTCCCCTTCTGCAAAGATAAATGTTAGCATGCCAGTTTGATTTTCAGGATCGTTCAGTGTCTTTAGATTCTGGTATTTTAGAATCCTTCAGAAGAAAGCATTGCGATCTAGTCTTTTTCCGCACCACCCTCAACTCACTAGCATCCTAAGCATGATCGTTTAGTTCTATCACATCTGTACTGAGAAATCGTTTATGGATCATAAAACTGACTCACTTAAAGTGTACTACTTAATAATTTTGTCATATTTCAGAGATGTACAACCATTATTAAATCTAATTTTGAAGTATTTCAACACTCTTAAGAGTACTAAATGATAGACAGTGGTCATCTCACCCCTGTTGGCTTGTTGTCTACTCATCTGTTCTGGACAATTCTTTCCCATTCTATGAAGTTTCAAGGTTCACCCATGTTGTGGAATGTTTCAGTACCTCATTACCTTTTGTAACAGAATGATAGTCTATTGTTTGCTTTAGGCTCTGGGCTAGAGAAAGAGTTTCTGATTAGTCGGGTTTTTTGTTTTTGTTTTTCAAGGGTTAAAATAAAATTCTCTACTATTTTTGATGAATTAGGATAAACAAGAGGCTGAACCTAAGGAAGTACAAGCAAGCCCTTGCTGTCAGGTAGCTCAGCAACAGAGGTGGTCTCAGTGCTTAGGACACTGAAGTATTATGGATCCAGGGCAGGCTGAGGACCAGATAAAGGAGATAAGAGTGGCCATGTGCTGAGGGAGACTGCAGAACCAAGGCTTTCATATTCCCCAGTTTGTGGTGAGAGGATCTCAAAGGGCCAGAGGAAAGGCCTCAGCTGAAGGTCACACAGAGACTTCTGAATAATGCCACCTGAGGTAGGAATGCAGCTCTGCTTCAAAGCATGGTGAATGTGGGACAAGTGGGGGGTGGGATGGGGCATCTTCCCTGCAGTTCCCTTCAGATGCTGCAGCCTACTGGCACTATCAAGTTTGCTCCTGTCACCAAATGTCCAGGCTCTCTGCATGGCCCCTTATCATCTTCAGTACCTGTCATTCATCTTCCCTTTAGCCAGGTGGTTCATACACTGTCCTATAAGTGGACCCAAGGTGTTCTGGGATTCCAGGGAGGAGGAAAGTAGTCTCTGGGAATGAGACCCAGTACCACTTCCTTTTGGTGCTCAGCACTGCTCATTACTCATTACTCGGCCATTGAGGTCCGAGTCCTCCTGTAATCTAAAGGAAATAATATTTCTAATAATCTTTCAGTAGGTCTACCAGGCTTCATTATTCTGAGCCTTTATTCCTTTTAATCTGTTGATCTTTTGTTGTATGTCCAGAAAGACTTCTCTAAGTTGATACTGTTTTCATTCTTTGGCCCAGAACTTTTAGTGCTTTACCTTTTCTTGACAATTAAGTTCAAACTCTCACATCGCCTTCTGAACGTCTCTTGTGACTACTACTCACTTTTTCATCTTTAAGATACCTATTTTTTCAAGTTTTTTTTTTTGTAAGTAGATACTCTTTCCTATCTGTACAACTATGCACACAAATATCAAACAGATGTCTGTTTTCCTAGTGACTTTTAAATATGTATAGTAAAATGTGACTTATTTAAATGCTTATCATTCAATTGGCTGGTCTCCAGGTTTTCTTTTAATCAATTTTCCAGTCTAATTGTCCCTTTAGCTACTTAATAATGTAGTATTTGTAAAATAATTATTGTGTGAAAGTGAATCATCTTGACTAAGTACAGGAACTGATTGACCTATTTGCAAAGGAATTTATTTAAATTCTGAGTATGAAAGGAAGGGAAATTTAAAGGGTCGATTAAGGAATGTATATGGATAGTAGAGCCATTAATGATACAAACAGTAAACTTTTTTATTATGATAGCATACTCAGCAACTCGGTGCCCAGCTATATAGTGGAAATCTCTGAATAAAGTAAACACAATAAAAGCGCTTCTGTCTACTTTGTCCTAAGCTAATATTAATTAAAGTTTCAGTTTGGAAAATACATTTTAAAAAACTTGTCTTTGGAAATTTATTCTTATAATAAACATTTTTGTATCAAGAAGCTGGTTTATTCTACTAAATACAGCATGGGATTATATCCTTGAATGTGACTAGATTATTGGCTGAACAAACACCTGCTTGCTGAAGCATATTTCTTTGTTTACTCAAGTTATGTGCAAGAAAGGCTTTGTCACTGTTTAAGGGATGTAGGAGGAAGTGTCATAGGTTTTAGTCATGATTCCAGTTTGTCCGGCTGACATTCGGTGACTTCCGTTTCCTCCTGAGTCAGTCTTGTTGTGAAGACCAGTTTGTATGTACATGTGGAAGTGCTCTATAACCGGAGTCCAGATTCAGTGCTGAAGCAAGATCTTAGCTCCTTCTCTGCCATTGTTTTAACTCTAGGCTGGCAAAGATCTAGCTGGAGCTTTTGTTTATAAGTAAGTACCATTACTTATAATTACTACGTTTTAAGGTTCTTAAAACTTAGGACTTAGAATTAGTTTTCCTTTTATCTTCTGCTTACTCTCATTTCTCTTGCTGATATACATGTCTGTCAGATAGTAAGCCTAAGTTCCATTAATTTTTCATGGGTTTTGTTTCATTTAATAATTAAATTTCATCTGATAATGAATCTAGTGTGGTAGGTGGTATTGCCTCATTTTTCTGTGGAGGAAAACTCTATGATTGGGGAGATTACATAGCTACTGATGCTAGAGGTACTATTCCAGTCAGTTTTCTGAGGACAGTGTTCCTTTTTTAAAACATGTACCTCAGCTAAACCAAGCTTTTTATCTCCATTTTCCCCCTTTGCTTATTCTCAATAATGGTCAGTGTCTAACTAAAATACTATTATAGAAAATAGCATAACTTGGAAATTTTAACATTATAACACCATTAAATGTCTTATTAATATTATACAACGTGAGCATGCATCTGAGAATCCTTCAGCGCTGTAAAATATAGCTGTCTTTCAAGTAAGATGAGCTAATTTTTTCCTTTAAAAATTTTAAAATTGGTATAACAGACTAATAGGTTTCACCCTGGCATTTCATATGTATATGTCATTATATTTTGTTCTAATTAATCCCAAGCCTAATGTTTTCAGTAGTCATATTTTATTTTTAAGGCATAGCAATGTTTATTATAGATGCTTATAAGCCAAAAGTGCTTGCTCTAGCACTGTGTGTTGCAACCCCTTTGGGGGTCCAACGGCCCTTTCATAGGGGTTGCATATCATGTATTTACTTTACAATTCAT